TGGGATCTTTACATTGACTTCAATGTCCTTCATGGCTGCGTTAAAATTCAGGAGGGAGGAAAGGACAAAACGCGCTTTGTTTCTCGTAGCAGAATTTTAATATGAGTACATAGGCTGCCGCACAGATATATCATCACTACACTATCAAGGTTCCTATGCATGCGATTTCTTTTGGAGAGTAGTGGAGAACAGCCTGCAATTTTGCTGCTGTCTGCGGTGACTCATGCTACACACAGGGGCCATGTGCTGCAATTGTTCTGAGGTTTGACCATTGCACTTTGTGGTGGAAGCACAGAGGCGCGCAGGCGTGTTGCAGCCTTTCCCATCAGTGCTCCAGTGCGCGAGCGCCCGCCAAAAGAGTCACGTGGGCTGCGAGCAGCCGCTCTGCAGGCTGCAGAAACCTGCCTGCCTTTGTCATTCAGTGGAGAGCAGAGGCAGACAAACATGTGGTCGGACACTTGGAAGCCCGCCTCCTGCAGTCAATCACCCAGCCAGTGCACGAGATATGAAGATAATGCAACACACAATTTGCAGAATCCGTAAACCATCTTGGAAGATAAGGCTGATTACGATTGAACTCCCTGACAGTGAAAGAGTCAGTCTTAACATTAACTTCCAACAGCCAGGACTCACGGCTTTCTGTGGTCGCAATTTAAAACCCAAACCTTTCTGCCCAGGCTATTTAATGGAAAGCCCGGTACCAAATGTCAAGGTGAGAGAATAAAATGAAGCTCTTAATCTTAACTAAAGAAAAAAAAATGTTCAGCAGACATGGCACGTAACCAACAACCGTTCGCTCAGCTCTTGTACAAGTTACAAAAAAGAAACTGGTTGTTTGTGAGAAAAGGAAATCCGCTCGTTGAGCAGAGCTAAAAAAGAACTCGCAGTAGACAAGAACGTTACCCACCACTGCTAAACAGGAAGCACTTATCTGATTAAAACATTCACTTAGAATTTTGATGTAATATTTGTAAGGTAATCATGTATCACTGATATGCTTTTTGTTAACATCACAGTGACAGTTAATTGTTATTATGACATTTTCAACATACAATGTATGTCGGGGGCTCATTTGTATTATTTACAGCAAAAGTCGCACTTCCTGATCCCTGTAAATTAAAGTATAACTAGTTTATATACATTTTTTCAAGTGTAGGAACACCAACCGGCATTAAATCAAACAAATTAGTTTCTTTTAAATTATCTAACTAGTCGGCGCGTTTTGTCGCGTTTAAGACCTCTGCAGAGTCAGGAAATATTAAACTTAGATTGTAATGTTGTCATGTATTTACATCAGGTTTCAGAGGCGCAGCATACTGCACGCTACCCACGCATTTAACCCGACGCATTGATCTTGGATTTTTGTCTATTATTACCTGACGGCACCGTGAGACATAAACAAGAAGTTGAACCCGTAAATACCTGCACAAGCCGCTCCTTATTGTAGGCCAAAAATAATACTTGGAAAAGATACATCTCTTTCAAAGCAACTGTGATAACTGCATCAGCTAAAACATTTACTAAACACAACTAAACGAGAGCAAGCCAAAAAATAAAAACTTTATGGATGACGATACATATCGTATTGACCGGTCCGAAGTGTGACTAGACATTGGAATTGGTGTATTCGCTTAGTTCGGTCGAATTGTCTTCGTTGGTTGTGTTGTATCGAGCGGGGCACTGCCTTCACATTTCCAAGCTCTCACCTTTGCACCTACAACTCAAATCAAGAGCAGTATTTGGAATAATTCGTTCTACTACTTTCACCTCCTCAACACCTTCCACTCCTCTCCCCCTGTCCATCAAGTTGTATGAAAACGAGTCTAGTGTGTGCAATGGTGGATTCACAAAGCAACATGCATTCAATTGTCTGAAAAAACCCATAAAAATGTCACGAAAATGCCACACTTGTAAAACGCTGGGAGAGATTAGTTTTGTTAATTAAGCGTTAAGACAAATCTTTCTAAATGGAACCGTCTGGTGCACTTTGAGTTCTACATGGGCCTTGAACGCAAGGGCAGCTCCTGTCTTGAAGTTAATAAGTTTTCTACCCATGTCAGAGCAAAACTAAAAGGCTTGTGCTGGCCTGATGCTCGTGGGCCTTCGCAAGCTGTTTGTACGTACAAACAAAACCTCTGTCGAAGCAGTTATGCCACAAGCATTTTTCTTACTATCTCATTTACCTGAACCCGTGTTATTCTTTTCTTTACCTGAGTGCTGGTTGTTAATAGTTACCTTACTTGCCAGGCAAATAGGTGTATTCTCTGCGTGTGAAGTTAAAGAAAATTCCTTATTTAAATTGGCATGAAAGATGATAATTTAAGAGACGACGAAAAGGTAAAGCTTTTTATTTAATTCTGCTCGCCGGAAAATATTCCATCCTCCAACAACTAAATTACTTTGGTTCTCTCAGGAAATCTTCCTGCCTACTTGAAAGTTTGAGGAATATTGCCCTCACTAGATGTTTGCTGCTCAGGAGGTAAACTTTTTTTTCTCCCTTTGTGCAAGTGAAGTGGACTTTGAGAAACACGACCTTCATATTCAATGGAGTACTGCAAAGAAAATTACTTAAGTTCTTAGCAAATCAAAACAAACTTTATCCTATCCGGTTAGTATAATTAACGGACATAGTCAACAATATTTCATATTAATGTTAAAAAAAATGCAGTTTCATTCACATGATTGCCCGAAATATCGTCCGATTTATTTCTATCTCTTTTCAACCGTAGGTATCAGAGCAACCAAACAAATGGGACTATCAGTGAATAGTGCTGTTCGATTGCGAATTGTTTTAAAGCAGACACCGGAGAAACTATGGGAATATAGGCAAATCGATTAAGATTATCTTATTCAAAACGTCTTTTTAAAATCTATTTGAGGTAACCACAAGCTATGTCCAAAAACTAAGAAAATATAGATTAGATATTATTGTTTACACTTGTTATGCTTGCAACATCAACATTTGGCTCATTGGCTTCCTGAAGAAGTTGAAATATTTTATGTAATCTCATTTAAAACAATGCGCCTGTTTACAGGATGAATTGAAAAAGAAAAGTGTAAAAATGCTTCAGAAACTTTTGACTGATTTTGCTTGAACGTAACTGGTCTACTTAGAAACACAATTGAAGCATTTTAAAAGAAAGCAGAGGGGATATGTATAGTGTTTCAGCTTTCGAAAACTAATTATCCTAAAGATCAATGTCCAGTTGTGTTATCTTGCAGTAGCCTGTTTTAAGGGAGTTAAGTAAAAAAGGGAACGCATTTTCTCGAATAGAGAGATACATGTATGGAATAATTTCCTTCACAGGATATTAGGGAAAAGAAGGTTTGCTGCGATGCCAACAAGGTGGTGACTTTTCATACTTTGTATGTGGTAGAGCCTAGCTCTGAGGAATGTCTTTAAGCATCTCGTTTATTCGCTTTACATGGAGATTTGACTGGAAAGTTACTAGCAGTTTTGTGACGCACACCGGACATCATTAACTATTCTCTAGCCGTTGGAGTATGATTTCACCCCGTCATTACTGGATTAACGAGATTTCACTGGCGTGACCTTCCATCTTTTAATCGTCCACCATAACGTTTTACAATTTTAAGGAATTCAGTGCCAATTAATGCTACTGTTTTCCTCTTGAAAACCCGTAATATCAGCGTAACAATGGAATGTGATTGAAATGATTCATATTAAAACATTCGCTAACTGTCACGGCGAAAATTATTTGATACCATTAGCACTTATAAAAACTGCTCACTAAAGGCAAAGTATTTTCACAAACATTTTCCTCGGCATTGTTTTGGATATGAGCTTACAACATACCAAGATTGCATTGGAGAATTACGTGGAATTTATAACACTGAAGATTATTTTTACTACAGAAAAGTACCTGCGGACTCTTACCATACTTTCACAAGAAGTGATATGTTCGGAAGAAATGGGAAATAATGTAACTACCAAGAGCTTAAAATCATTGATTTTAAATTGACCTCAAGCTAATTAAACTACGATTTGCATTGTGCTTTTCCAATTTGGGCGCAAAGAATTGAGTTGCTTATTTCATCCGAGGAGCAGGAAAGTCAACATTTCGGTTCGTTGACTTTCCTGCTCCTCGAATGCTGTCTGACCTGCTGCGCTTTTCCAGCCTCACATCTGTTGCCTCTGGCTTCCAGCATCTGCAGTCCTTACTGTCTCCAAGGCACTGAATTGCTTACTTGCTAGTTTGCGAACATCGGCGACAGTAGGACAATACCGAACATACAGACAGAAGTGCTGTCTTGTATTTTCTTATAACAAAAATGTGACCATCATAGAAAAAAAAATCAAATTTCTGTGGAGTTGGAGCTTGAACCGACAACATTTAAATAAGGGTAAATCAGACGGATGGGAATCTAGTCTTGGCAAACTTATAGCACTGAGGTATCACTTAAAACCATATGATTTATTTACCAACTAGCAAACATTAAAACTCCACTAGCCTTTGGAATCTATCTTCTTCATAGATTTTGTAGTTCCCAATTGATACCTTATTCCCAAGGCAGCCATTAGGAGCCAACACTTACAGCACTTAATGTGAACCCAAGAACATGCTTTAAAGTGAATATGGAAACAAGTGCTTTTGCTCTCATTTCCTCCAGCATAAACTAAATTGCTTCACAACAATACACATCCTTCAATGCTTAAAGTCTGTGTATATCATAATAAACCAATAGATTCAATTTTTAAGAAAATGTACAGGTTATTTAGTGTAAGATGCTGGTATTGCAGTAGAAAGCATCCCCTTCAATAGTCTTCTGAAACCATTCTAGTTGAAGTTAACTTATTCCATTATATGAAGCATATTTAGGATGGCTCTAGTGTTAATTACTAAGATGACATTTGGACCACAGTTGAGATTTATACTTATGTGCTACAGCTAATACACTGAGAATGATTTTGCTTAACATGAGTCAACCTGCATATTTGAACAAAATTTGACAGGCAGCAAGCAACTGAAAACTTCACCTTTTGAAAATGCAAACATTTTGAGCTCTGGCCGCCTTTAATGTCATTCACTAATGTTATGTTCACTGACATGGTCAAACAGTTAACATCAACCTCTATACTGACCAAGATTCAATCCATGACAAATTCAATGGAAAAAAAAAACCATTGTAAGAACATTAGTTCAATTACAATATTTACAGATGTAAACACTTTCAAATTAGAGATTTCTGGTATATGAACTTTAAAAAATGTTTGCCGATTGTGACTTGGACTATTCAATACAAGTACAAATAATGAACATTTCAAATAAAATATTTAAATATAGCATATATACATTTGGATTTGGTTATAGGGGAATGATCTCAAAAATAATTATTTGAATTCTCAGAGGTAGTATATGCCTTACATAACCACATTTCATTGTGATTATACTGGATATTAGACTTCTATCCATAGACACCATACCTCTGAATTTCCTTAAAATATTTCTGGGATCAAGAAACTTAATTTGTCAATGAGATTGTTATGTATAGTGATACTGTTCTACAGGGAATTCAAATACTTAATACCCACTTGAGGTCTAAAATGATAAAATCATGAAAACAGTTTTATTTCAGGTTGATCATTTCATTTTCTTGTAGTATGTATACTAATGCTGCAGGAAAACATTTAACAACCATTGATGCTGACATCTACCATCAAATCAGTTTTCACAGTGAAATGGCTAAAAAGAACATTTTTTTTTCTATTGATCATTTCTTTTAGATTCCTTGTCAATTGGTGTCTTTGTGGAAAAATCACTAGCCTTCTTATATTTCATCTGTACAGTCAATATCACAATGCAATACCAGCAAATTAAAAGTATGTTGATATATAGATATAGTAAACTTCAATTCAATTAAAACAGTTATACAAAATATCTTCCAACGTTTATATCTTTACAATAATTGCCTTCCCAGCTTTCCTTCCTTCATCTTTCACTGTGAATATCATCTCCAGCGAATCAAATGAGTCATCAGATCCAACACTTTCTTGATGCATATGTCCTTAAATCTTTGCAATACACAGTGCAGTGATGTAGATCCATTGCTATTTCGCATTCCCAAAAGTTGGAAAATCATCATGGAGGAGCAAAAGATGTTGTCAAGGCTATTTTTGTTATAGCCACATCTTGTTTCTTGCTTTACACCAAATGTACAAGTCACTACAAAATAGTGATGTTAACGATGCTCACAATGCTAAGCATTCTCTATCTATATATTATCACATCATATGAACAGGCCTTCGAATATGTATTGTACCATCAATGTGGTGAATACCGTCAGCCTGATGACACTGATGAGCCATTGACAGATGATTTGCGTGGTCTGTTATTGCTGAATGGGATCTGATGGGTAGTATTGGCATTGGAGGAACCATTCATGGTAGTTGATATATGAGGAAAGTGTGGATGTGGAGACTGCCCTGGAGTACAGGGACTGGGCAGTGATGACGATGTGGATGGTGCAGCAGTTGGGCTATTAGCCTTATCACTCCCAGAGTCACTTTCTACCTCTCCACTGGTGTTATTGAATCCATCTTGTTGATTACCAATTTTAATTCTTTTGCATGTTGGCTGGACTCGATATTTTAGAGGAAGTGGTCCATTCTGAAATGAAGTGCAAGAACATCTGGTAAGGACTAACGGTTTGAGATTAAAACTTTTTAGAACCATCAAAAATATGTAGATTGAATTTACCCTCCTCCATGCATAAATGTAGGCAATATCCATAAGAGTGTAATAATCTTTCAATGGTTCATCTTCATACATAACATCAATCTAATGAAAAGAATAAAAGTCATCTTTATTAATGAGAGCAGGATTTACCAAAATATTTTGATTTTTACAAAGTAGAACACATATGGAATTTTAGGCCTCACCATATTTGTATTTAATAAAACTGCACTGTAAAAAAAGTGAAACAAGCAAAATAGATGCAACTTCACATTTCACTGTCCATTATATTCATTGTTTTAAAATATCTCAAAAGGCCACAAATGTTCATTTCCACAAAATTAAACAAACATCAACAGACTTTGAAGCCAAATGAGAGAATGGATACAAAAACAGAAGTTGCCAGAAGAGCTCAGCAGGTCTGGCAGCATCTGAAAAGAAAAAAAAATCAGAGTTAATGTTTCCGGTTTGGTGACCTTTCCTCGACCCAAAACACTAACTCTGATTTACAGCATGCACAGTTCTTTTGGTTTTTAGAGAAAATTGATAACCATTCATGACAACTAAAGGAAGGGTTTTGTCAAGGTGATAATAAAAAAAAAAAAAATTTGTCAGCTTGCAAATAACAACTATTACAATCTTTCATTACCCCTTTATGAATTGTTACATCTGAACCTTGAGATTGGTAGAAGGTCTTCTCTACCTCAAAACCTAGACCTTTCTCAACACAACAAATATGTTAACTTTTATATTTATTAAAATTTGGTTGGTAATGATAATTTTCTTTATTGCAAAAATTTGGAAACAGTTTAAGTGTTAAAGTTTCTTAAATCTATTTTTGTTTTAATAAATGTAAGTATGATGTTTAAAACTCATTTCACAACAATGTGGTATACTGCATATATACTGCATTCAACGTATATAGGGGGTTCCAAATCTCCTTGTGTACACTATCTAAATTGTCATTAAGATTTCCGAATTATACAAGAGCAAAAGAAAAAGAAACAAATACATAGTTGAATGGTCCACCTGCCAAAAATCAGTAATTACTGTATCTCTAACTATGTAAAATCTTTCAAATAGAATTTGTTCTCATATTAAAAGTAATCAGAACTCATTTATTATTAGGCATCATAATTTTAATTAAGTGTATCTCAAATGTACCTGAAATGTTTGAGGGATGTCCATTTTACTCCTAAGGAATTTTCTTAAATGCATCACAGTCATTGCTGCTGGACACCGCAAATATCTCTTGTCATTCATCTAAAAAGAAACAAAATAAAAATTGAGACTTACTCACATTGCAACTTAAAAAAAAAGGAAACCTGTGTTACTCCAACAAATTGGTAGCATTTGTCTATAAATATATAAATCTTGTGTTAAATATTTAACGTCTGTTAGCTTTTAATATGTTCTTGTTTAACGCTATTTAAATTAAATGTTTTGCAGAAACAACTACATATAGGAATTACAACTGACAATTGATACCTCATCTTTTGTTTTCTCTTTTTCTGAAATTTCTTTTCGTTCAGTCCTGTAATACAAGACAAGACAAGACAATTGCCTTATAGGAGGAAAGAAATGCTAAACATTTGTGATCAATGTATTTTGAGTGATTTCTATACTTACTTATTTTGTTCGTAGAATTCTATTGACAAACTAATGATTTCATCATCTGTTATAATCCTCTTTTCTTCTTCTGTAACTTCACCCCTGTCTTCGTTAGAGCCATTTGCTGCTACACAAATTTAAACATTAGGGAGTATTGATTTCAGAATATTTTCATATAACTATTTCAACTTTGGAAAATAAAAAAAAGAAATCAACAATTCTTTCTTCATTATTGCAGGCCTATAAGATGGTCAACTGAAAGCTGTGTAATAAAAATTATTCCAATCTGTATTTCATTTTCACATTCTATCCTGCTTTCAGCAGGTAGGAAACTTGTCATTCTAAGTTTAAAAACAGTTTAAGCCAAAGACCATAAAATGATACATAAATTCTGGTCTAGCCAGTGACCCCATCGTCCTGTCAATGAATACAAAAATTATATAAAATAAAGATTATGAAAGCCAGAAGAACTGTAGATGCCGGAAATCAGAAACAAAAGCAGAAATTGCTGGAAAAGCTCAGCATGTCTGGCAGTATCTGTGGAAAGAAATCAGAGTTAATGTTTCGGGTCCAGTGACCCTTCCTCAGAACCCTCGGATAGTTATGACATTGGCAATTTGTTTTGAAATCTGTAACAGCATAAGATATTTATGAAGAAATGTAGAAATTCAGAAATTAAAAATTTAAAACAGACAAGGGTTGATGCAGCATGCATCTATCTCTAAAAAAATGATCGCAACAACTGAATTCCTGAGTTTCAAAACTAATACCATTTATAAAATGTATACCAAAATAATAATAATGCAATGACTACACCATGCATAAATATTGAAAGAAATCTTTAAAAGTATCACTTTGCTATTTTGTGGAATTAAAAGAAATGCAATACTGACTAAAACCTGTCCTTTTGGAAAAGCATATTCTAGAATTACATTAATTTCTCAACAATGCAATCAATTAACTTTACTACTGCATACTTACCATCAGCAGAAGGATGAGCAGCATAGAAGTCCCTTCTACGTTTCATTTCATCTATGAAAGACAAGGGTGAATAACTGTCTGATTGACAGAAAAAGGAATTAAAATTTAAAATTTAAATTTGTTTTATATATAAAAATATTACACTTACCTTTGAAAAGGCCAGGAACTAATTTATACACAATATCTTGTAACGTCTTATCTGACCTTAAGAAAGGATTTGAATGAGTCACATTTGATAAGACTAAAGAAAGACTTATTCCACATAACATTTCATCAATACAACTTGAATTTGCAGAATAATTTCTGTGAATGCAAAATAACTGTTCACTTTATAAAAATGCATAGTACTTCCCCACTTTTTTTACATATACTGCCATTTGTTAGATTGGATTCATAAACTGAGTTATGTCATCTGTAAACATGGTATAATCTGTAATTTTGTCAAAAAATGCTCACTTGACAGGAATTTGTAATAAATATTGAAGTGGAACTATTCTATATTTACAGCACTTCAGAATGATATTGAACTTTGTTTCTTATGAATAAAAACAAAAATAATAGCTGATGTAAAAATGTTAAATAAACGTTTTAGTATTGCTTTGCAATTTTTTCTACCACAGTTTTCTTTCAGTAGGGTAATAGTAGAACTAAAATTTAGTAAATCAAGTTTGCCTTGTTTTTGTTTAAACATTATAAGGACTAGGGGAGTAGTGTTTATGGTGCTTACTTTGGACAGTAAGTGGATTTTTTTTTCATATATGTTTCAATTTAGTAAAGCTGATTGATTGTTTAACTTAAAACCTGCAGTAAACTAAGTCAGTTAACATTCAAATATCATTTTAACTGTCTGTTAAAAGCAAAAAAAAAAAAGACTTTATCTTCCAATTTCAGTCAGTTCAGCATTTATTGAATCTTTTTGAGAGCTTTGAGTATAAAGTGCTTTTGGGCAAGCACAAACATCAAGCAATCCGTGATCTCAATTCTTTGAGCTACTGCCAAAGATGTCCAAATAATGCATTTTATATATTTCTTTCAAAAACAGAACGATATTTTTTCAATCAAATCTTGTCAACCACTTTCAACTGTTATGCCTGATTTCAATAGAATTACAGTTTTCTTAAATGCCAGTTTACAAAATACTAGCAAGGCTGTTGGATGATCACGTGATACATGTTACTGAAGCCCATCGATCAACTTAAGGAACTACTATGCGACTCACGAGGTTTTTAAGAAATATATTACATGAAAACGTCACTGTTCAGTGTCCAAAAATCACGATCATAACGACGCACGTCTACTCCCGTTTTTACTTCGAGAGTTGTATTTTTCAGACACATCATCTCCAACAGTAGTTTAGTTACACTTCTCAGACGCACGCCTATTGGTCTTATCAAAATTGTGACTTCTATAAGTAATATAGATCCATACCTAATGTTAAGAAGGGGCCTAGTTTTGTGAACTTGCACGTCGCAAATGGGACAGTACTTGCTGGTTTCCAAGTAACGGACGATGCAGGTCTTACAAACTGTAAATAAAAGCAGGAATCACATGCATAAACCACTGGTAAGGGTTGATTTGATGACATGGTTTTGCCGACATTACGTTTTTTTTGGATTCTAACAAACGAGTAGCCTGCTGAACTGCTGAATGCCAATATACTCACATGAATGTAGGCACTCAATGATGGTTGTTGCATCTATGAAGTATCCTCCACACAACACACACATCAAATGAGGGTTCAGTTCAGTTATTTTGATTCGTGTTGTTCGGTGCATTTTCTGAGTAAAATGGCCGCGTCCTGGAAGCTGAGCAGAAATATAGAGAATAGCTTTTTTTCCGTGTTATGGAATTCCATTATTTAGTTAATTCATTGGTTAGTTTATTGTACTTGAGCTCCATGACACAACCATTAAGCTAAATAACTATTAGTATCCACACTGGCAGATACAAAATGAGTACATTATTTTCTAAAGGTGCAATGATCAACAAAGCAGTATTTGTGAAACAATTTTGACAGGAGATGCTCTCAAAGCAGTTAGTGACTGGGCATTTCTCGCCCCTCTGCCGACTCAGTCTTAATTGGCAAAAATCAGTAAACAAAAAAATTGTTTCGTGAAAATTATTGATATCCTTAAAGCTAAGAATCGTCTTCATTCAAATATTGACAAGCTGATGTGAGGTAACTACATACGAAGAGTTGTAAAATTCGAATTGCAAGTGCCGGATCACACCCAATTAATGCAAAGTGGCTGACCTACTAAAGTGCACACTGAATCATTTTCGTAATCAGACAGACTTTCAGATAAATCCTGTGCAGACTACCTTCCCGCTAAACCTCCACAGTGATAATAAAAACAACCCACAGACCACAAGCATGCAGGTCAATGACAATGAATTTTGAATAGCACTCCTGATCGTTTTGTTGGCTTTGTTTCCTTTATATTTAAGCGTAACAAAACCGCCTTTTCTACACTTCACTTCCAGACGCAGAGCGTCTGGACCAAAAACATTTCTTTCCGCGAAACCAACATGCCTTTGGGCTCATATTCGTGCCGTATCAAGACACCTCGGAATCGATGAAAATTTGTCACAAGACAAAGCGACTACTTATTGAGCAGAACACTGATGTCGCAACGATCATCGCATCTGGATTTGCAATCACACGTTTCATGTTTGACATTAAACCGACGATTCTTTAGCCCCGTGTAAAGCGAAACAGGAAGAATTGTGTTCTATAAAGCCATTTCCGGCAATTACATGTTCGTTGGAAATATTTTAATGAACACCGGGGTGCTGGAGTAGGAATGTGATGCAGACACCGAAGCTGACCCGTTACAAATGTAATAAATACAATAACGTTCGCGTCCTACAAAGAGGAGCATTCTAAATAAGCAAAAAGGCAAATTGACGTCTGCTGGTGCCCATACTCGGCAATTCTTACAGTTACTATAGCAACTTGGGTTACACTTGGCATTTCGCCAAAGGACCGAAAACAGAGCGAGCTTCTGCGGGGGACCCACGGCGGTCATGTGGAAATATTGCAAATTTAAACCCTTGAAGATGCAATCACGATCTGAGAATGAGCTGAACAATCTAAACATGCAAATCTCACCGCCATTTCAAATGAGCCCTAACACAGCGCACATCATCGCTTTTTTGGCTCTCCTAGAGATAGACTCCACGTCGACACTAGCTTTTAGTAGTGGCTTTTGTGATCACACGATTTCCTTCTGCAAACGCCTGTCTCCTTTCCAGGGCGACTAATGGGTAGCGGCGGTTCCACCAGAGGATCACTTTGATAGTGCACGCCTATTGATTAATAATTAATAAGTGATCAGGAAACAGGAATCCATAAAGGTGCAATGTTCTACGAAACTTATTGCGGTTTGTTGTCCATTTAAAATTTTCTTTAAAACAAAAGGAAACCGTTTGATTTTCGTAAGAAAAAACATCAAGAAAACTGACAACAAGCAAATAACTAAGTGACGCACATAATTCAGAGGACGCACAGAGCTGGGGCACAGAAACACCAGGCCAGACGGAAAAAAGTGACTGACTATCTGCCGCACTTATTTATAACACCTACAATCATATCCATACCGTTAAAACACATACATTCACCATCACTCGTGTATTGGCTTTAAGAAAGCAAATTTTACCCACAGCGCCGACGCGCGACGTTTTGAAGTAATCATACTACACCGTGTCATAAACAATCAGCAATTCTATAGTTTTTATATTTCAATAGGCTTTGAGACACAAGCAGACCATGTGCACAATGACTGAAGCTTCATGGAAATAAGTCCTTCAGGCAGTCTAACAACAAACAGAACTCGACAGTAATCCTCAGTTTCTTCACTGGCCGTTTTACATTAATGTCCTTCCCCACACCCCCCTCCCCCCCCCACACACACAAAAACAAAACTCATGCCCAGAAACTCCCAAAAGTTTACCCCGTTTTCTTTTGACTTGGAAGTTAACCGGATTGCGACACGCTTACTCTTTTGTCGTGTACGTACTTGCTTTTAGACGTCTCTCGCTGTCGAGAACCAGGGACCCCTTCTGCGGAACACGCAGAAATAAAAGGAAAATAAAAAAAACAAACCACGTGTTCTTTAAAAAAAAAACCGCTCGACTCTCCCCGACAAACTGGTGATCGGCCCTTCCGAACAGAACCGGCGTGGATTTAACTACTGAATAAATGAAGTACTCCTTCAGCAAAACGTTCCTCACAGAAGGCAACCCAACTCGTTATAGACCCCTATGTAAACACACGTGTTTTACTTCACATATCCGTGAGCTTCCGTTTTATGCTGGGTAATTCATTTCAGCTGCTCAACTTTATGTCTCCCTGATTATGTTTTCAACCCGACGGTCTATATTATCAGCGGGTCAAACAATTAGTCTTCGTAACACCGTCTTCACACCACCCCAGAGTAACAAAGAAATCTATTTAAAAGCTGCACTAGGCACAACAATGTAGATTATCTGACAGATGGGTTTTCAAGATACTGCATTAGGGGAGTCCATATCTCAAAATGCAATATTCCAGCATACCCGACAGTAATGCTGACAAATGGTGGACACCAATTTTTCAACTATGGTGCCCTATCATATATATTTCAAAGAAAACCAACATCAGCCTTGATCAAAGCATCACCACCAATATCCACACATAGAAACAAACAACATTTCTGGAAGCTCTGTTAAAGCAAAACATTATACAATTTTATTTATTAAAACTAGCTTTGGACGTGGCCTGAAATCAAGGGTATGGGTGAAAGGGGTACTGGAAGCCGGACGATTTCATTTCCTTCCCATAACCATTCTGATCTAAGCAAATCATAATTTTGTTGGTCTTCCAACATTAATGTGGCTGCATGTACCTCTCAGCTACACACAGCCCCAGTTCTCAGCTATTTTACTTAAGTACATCACAACAGAGATCATTCCGTGAGATTTAAATCTCAAATGGCAGAAGAAAAAACATTCAGAAATATGTACTCAATGTCTGTTCTCAAGGAATTTCAGTTGTCCTTATCAGTTGCTGCTTGTTTGAATAAAGCCAAAAAGGTTTTGCGACCAAGGCCATCTTAGCTCCTTACTCAACAAGCACTCAGCATCTCCACAAATCAAAACAGAATCCGATTGTATGGCAGCTCCTCACTCCCACTCCCCGCCCCATTACCGCTACCATCATCATCAACAAACAATAAGACAACATAGGTCTAAGATACCAACTGACCTCAACACCTTTTCTGATTTTACTCTAATAAATCTGAACAAGCACAAAAGAAGGGGTAAAACGCTTGCTCCCTCCCACTCCTACTCAGCAAACCTCGTGCTCTGCCTGGGAAATCATTGCTGCCAATCTGATACAGTCCTGCTTTAGCAATTATAGAAACCAGAGAGAAAACCTTCACAAACATGCAAGATTTTAAAAATCTCAACATCTTGGTAGCCGGTCAGGGCAAAGCTTTTCGTGTTTCTTGTTTGTTTATTTGCTTCTGATCCACAAACACTGTACAAGGATCCGAGAGACACCATCACCAACCGCCATGTTTACCGTCAAAACCCAAAGAAGTTGTCTTAAGAAGTTAAGTTCATAAAACACATCACGTTCGCCTTCTCAATCAAACAGTCACATTAGCACATTCCTCACCCTGTCCGGATTCTAACTCTATAAAATCCTTGCACTAGGTCCCTCTTTTGATGTCAAAATATGCATTTGTATATGGGCTGACTAACAACACTTCGGTGGCAGAACTGCACAATCCCACCACGGTCACATTTCAAAGACATCTAAATTCACATTCGCGACCGTCCAAGCCTCCGGACTTGCAGTGATCGAAAGTATAAATATTATTCCCTCGACTCAAACGAGCAGAACGGTCGCAGGCTCATACGCTGCGGAGAATCGAACAAAAATGTTGTGAGTGAAGTGCGTAACGAAACTGAGTGGAAATAAAGAGGGCGACGAGCCGCTGTCAGCCTGAAGAGCGAGGAGAGAGAGAGAGTTGGGGAGAGAAAGAGAGAGAAGCGGCACCGGGTGAATTTCAAACAGAGAAATCGGCCTGCAGTGGCGGCCGGAATGTACCTGGGAGAATCTCTCAGGACAGTGCAGCCTCGGAGAGACCATGCCTGGGCCACGGCGACTCCCGGCTACAGCCTGCACCCCGTGGAAAACAATGAAAGTTGTAGATCGGGGGGAAAAAAAATGATTCGCAGCCAAGCGGCCATCTTGCATGAACTGCAGACGCTGTCAATTGCAATCGCAGAGGCTGCAGCTTCGAGAGAGAGACAGAGAGAGAGAGAGACAGAGAAAATAACATTCGTTCAACGCTGGCCCTTGCACCCTCCCTCGCTCCGAGCCTGGCAACACCCGATCTGCGCCCGTTGCAATATTTGTTCAGGCGATCCTACCTGGCTGCGAGGCGGCTACGCTCTGTTCCCGGTTGGAGAAGTTGAAGCCTACCCTCCGCCTTCTCTTCCCACCACCACACATCCACAAACCCACCCAGCACCCTCCTCTCCCTCCTCCAGCCGCACCCCCCCCCCTCCTCAAAGCCCAGTGATGGGTGCCGTGAAACTGACACCGTCCCCAAAATGGCTCGAGTCCGCCCGCCCCGCTCCGTCACGTGGTCTCATTCCTTAAGGGTGGCCTGGGAATTCGAGTCGGTGTAATCAGAGCCGACCCCCACCCCCACCCCCACCCCCCTTCCCCTCAAGCCCCAGCACCATCCCTTCACCAAGCTCTCCCCCCACCACACATACACACACTTCAACTCAGACACCCTCCACTCTGCTCCACACATCAGCTCCCCTCCGCCAGTATCAACCGCTTTTTGCAAAAAAAAACCCCACATGTCGCCGGGTAAAATAGAAGTCTCGTGGTTTCGATACAAACTGAGATTATTGCATAATAAAATATGACGCCGAACTTTATTTCAGAGCCGGCTTTCGCACTGAAGTGCGCATCTCAGTCCAGAACGATCCATTGAAAGCTTCTTTTCCTATCGATCTGTAAGCTGGTCATTTTTTTTAAAAAGTATCAATGGGGCATCATCGTGTGATTACATTTCTGTGCGACGATGCATTTTCGAAACAAACGTCCAATATTTAGCGGCTGACGACGCGACACGATTTTGATCCTAATTTTCATTGGAAATATTTGTTGAATGGTTTCACTACAGCGTCACGAATTTTTCCTGTACAGAGAAACTCTGGTCACCAGAACGTGGTCGAGTGCCTGCACACATCCCAGCTCCCCGTTCTATTAGACCGTACACAGACTTCGGTAAAGGCGACTTCCTTACAAAGTTTCTTAAATTTGGCAAACAGAAGCAAAAAACGTTTTGAATGGGGCGGGGTGGGGGGCGCGGAATATCCAAGGTTAGATTCAGCGGCTTTGGCTGTCTGCGATTGAACGGGCTCACAAATAATTTTACATTTTTTACAAAAGTTTAAGAAAGTGTTTCTGAAGCATGGAATTGGGGTTTCTTAGCGCAGTTTATAAACTGCCTTTGTATCTTTCATTGACGTTTTCAAAGTTCTAGTAATTGTTGTAATTAAATGCCACAGTTGCCAGTAACTGAAGTCGTTTGGGAGTTACTGACGTCGAAAGAGGTGACCATCTATTACAATCAAAGAACTGGAACGACTTCGTTACTTTCCAAACTCAGCCGTAGACAAAGGTATTTATTTAACATCAGGAATATTAGAGATGTCTGTGTTTTTAGTCGACAGGTCAGGATCAGTTCAAGTAGTACAGATTTTGAAAAGCGACTTGCAGTTGGAGTCCAAATATCGATACCACATGTTGTATCTAGGAACTTTCAAACAAATTATTTCAACCCATACAAGTGCAAAGAAAAATACTGCAGGCAGCATATTTTTATTATGGAAAAAGATCTCGTATATACACAATCAAACGCAACAAATATACAAGGCTGATGCTTCAAAACTTTCCACCTGCACAAACATTCGACTCAAGTACAGGGGCGGCACTTCATACATTCGCCAAATGCACCGTTTGAACTATTTCTGAATTCTCTGTTGTCTGCATCTTTTGCATAAAGTGTGGAAGCACGCAGGTTTTGGCGGATTCCTTTTATACCACCCACAGGCTCGAGTTCAATCGCGGTCCCCACAGCTTCATCAATTACATCTGACTGGCCTTTTCCATGCTTTTAGCCGCGTCCTTCAACTTTCCCAAAAGATCCTACAATCGGAAAGCTGATTTTTAAAAATACACCATTTCACACACAAATGACAAATTTATTCCAACGGACACAGATAATGAAATTGTTTAATCAAAAAAAAAGTTAAAAATCTCCCTTTCTCCCACCGCCCCATACAGTCGTACAGTAAGAGTTGCACAGTGCGTAAGTTTGTAAATTTTTTTTTTACAGTTTCGCATAAAGTTGGTCAATAAAGATCATCCACTCGCAGCGTTAAAACAAAATAATATTTAATTAAAACTGCCAAGTTTTTATGAATTTTGAATTTTTTCAGCACGAAACTTAACGTTTTCCTTAAAACTTTCCCAATAAGCAGATGAATTACTTCAGAATCCTACACTTTTGCAAAATTTGTGACGTTTGGTGAACTAAAAAAAAAGATGGGATTGCTTTAAGAAAAATGCATTCGTAGGAAAAGTAACAATTGCTCTGGCTCTTAAAAAGAATCTTGAGCATTGATTGGTAAACACCGGAACGACTGAACATTACAAAATAAAAGCATTAGTAATAGCATTCATCATGATCAATTTAAATAGATTTGTAACTTTAAAAATCCGTAAAATAAAATCAGAGGAGGCTTCACCTTCGTTGATAAGAGTACAAAGCCAGAAGAGTAATTACACAGAAGACTTTTTGCCTTACAGCTACAATTAAAACAGTTGTATTTTCTTTTAGAAATGATCCGCGCACGAGATGCGATTTAAACCCAACACTGAAAAAAAAATACGTCCCACATTTTGTAAATGCATTGACGGGTTAATCTCCACATGGAAACATTTACATAGCAAACAGGAAAACCTTGGTTTTCTGTAAATAGATCGCCCTCAAGTTTCTGTAAAAATCGTTGCACGGGAAGGAACAAGAACATTTTTTCAAGCTTACAGGAATTTAGTGGCTCCTAAAATCAGTGTGATCGAAATTTTGAACCACAGCTTGTATTGTTATGAACAAAAAACTCAAAAATTAATCATTGGCCAAAGTAATTTGCCGTTTTGGAGATTCCACAACATGCTTTTGTTTTTAAAACAGTGCATGTACTGTCTTTTATTTTTAAAAAAAGGCCTCAGTCCAACTAATCATAACGTCTTACAATTGGGCCTAAGTCACAACAGACGCTAATAAAAGGGATTTCGATCTCGAAATCTTGGGAGAGAAAGCACCAATAGTTTGTAAAATGAGAAAGCTTTGCTGGAATACCTGCAACTGCTCCATGGTACAACGGAAAGTAATGTCGTGAGCTTTCCGGGACTGCCCGTTCTGTAACAGAAGTCAAAGCAATATTAAGACGTGCTAAATGTGCATTTCAAATTAAAAACGCAATACTATCTTCTTTTAACACCTTACCTCAACATTTAAGGTTACTAAATATGCCGGTTGATTGACTTTGTGAAGATGGTTATTCTGGGACCAAAAAAATAGTATAACAATGAGTTGAGGCAGGTGTATACAGTACCAAAGTATTTGGAAGAAAGTTTGTCTCTGGCTATTTCGAAACAAATTACGGAAAGAAGGAAAAACCATTGTTTTTTACCCGAATGTGATACTCCAGGCGCCAAGAAGCATCAATGATATGAGAAGGAAATCTTCCTATGCTGCAGGATATTTAAAATATAAAACACAAATTGCAGAAATTAAAATGCCAGATTCTCCCGCTGTTTCTTTACTGCATTTTAGCAAAGGTTAGATCCCACCATCCCCAAATCAGTAGTTTAACAGATTTGGACTCAAACAATCCAAAAACTCAATTTAAATGAAGGCTGTGAATCTTGGCACTATTCATACACACACACAGCGAGTGAGATACCTAAAAAACAAAAATCCATCTCCGGTGGAAAAACGATAGCAACTAATGGCTTGAAACTGAATTCGCTGTTTATCCTTCAGTTTGCAAGCACAAGCCTTAAAAAAAAAATCACCATTCCAGTAAATTAATCGTGTATCATTGTTCACATTTTGGCTAACATTTTGCAATCAAATTAACTAACAGATGCAAGCGTGATCTAAAGATTATTGGTAAATTTTATTCTGCCTCCTTTTCCTTCAGTTTTTTTTTTAAAACATGCTATAGAAGGTACATGGGAAAAACGTCCCTCGAGATCATGATGGAAAACAGCGATCATAAATCGCACCATCGATCCGCTGATATGGATTGGAATGCGTTCAAATAAAAACAATAAATAAAATTTATGATTCAGAAGCAAAATATACAGCTACACGAATTACATTTGTCAACTTTAATGTTGAACAAACGATGCTTTGGTTCGATAGATAATAAAAGAATTTTAGTATTTCAATTATGCTGTACACTTTTCCTAAATTGTTCTTACTGCACATTTAAGGTAAACAATTAAGTAATTTCATGACCGACGATCATAACTCAAGCTATTTATATGTGATTGAAATGTATTTCAATTTATAGATATAGCACACAAGATACAACTCCACATCCCCAAAGGAGTTAGAGCACCAGACAAACTACAAATACTCACCCTCCTAATAAGATTTCTACTTTCTGTTTGTTCTTCTAAATATCGAAAAAAGGAATTAGTTTAGTCACATTCTCAAAAGATACAATAACGTTAGTTTCAATTAATTCATTTCAGTAAATGTATAAAAGTGAGTGGTTATTTCAGTATTTTACGTGTACAAACGTGTTCTGACAAATTCAGAAGGAATTACAAGATCGCAACCCTAAAATAACGCCTTAAAATTCTCGATCGCCAGCTCTAACTGGAAAATCAGTAGCTTGATTTTAATTAAACAAAAGGCGATTTTTTTTTGTGGTAAGCTCCTAAATTGCAGCACTCCCAATCATTTTATAAACAGTAGGGACACCAAACCTGGTATGCTGTGCAAAATATGTCTATCCTTTCTGCTCCAAATCTACAGTCTTCAAGTAATGAGCTGGAATTGAAGAACATCAGTTACAAAATGCCTCCACATCCGAAAACAATGTTGAACTGCATATACAATATTCATAAATGTTGGACATGTAACCTTATAGTCGACTTGTCGGCGTTTTGTTTTCCTGCCTCCAACACGCAGGTTGCGATGGCTACATGGCATTGTTTCAGCAAAGTCAAGTCCAAATTTCCCAGCTCTACATGGCCTGTGTAACAATGGTAGATTATAATTCTCAATACTATTTCTATATACAACAAAGCTTTCCACCTATAAGAGGCCTGTCTGGTGCATGACATTTAATAATAATGCAATTACTTTGTCTGGTACTTTATATAAACCAAAAAAATGCCGTCAGCTCATGAAAATTAAACCCAGCATTTTATTGTTTATGGAAGAGTATTTTGATACATTCTGACTTTAATGATCATGACCACCACACATGCTCACTTAGAAGACGCTGGGTTTTGCCTACTTCTACTCACTGAATAAATTGGGCTCTTAAACATTTGTTAAAAATCCAGATAAAACAGAATGCACTCCAAATCAGCAACCCTGATACATTAGGCCCCAGGATACTGGTCCACAACAATACATGCAGGCTCAGTATGCATTTCGCGCCGTCAACTCGACAGCTCAAGAACAAGTAATCAGTCAATAGAAACCCATTTGGCAAATAACAAACACACTGCTGCAAATGTTATTTATAACTGGATTCGGCAGCATTGCGACGCAGAGCAGTTTGCAAAGCAACAACCCGACCGTGTCCTTCCTGAATCAAAAGCAGTATTAAACAACCAGCAGCCACCCTCCACAAAAAGCTCGAAAATACGCGCTCACCGAATACTGCTCCGTCTGTTTGTGGGTTTATGAGGCTCTCGAAAGCCGCTTCCACTAAAATGTGGAATGTTTTGTTGGAGAAGTGGCTGGGATCGGCCAGCAATTGCAACCCTTTCAGGACGTACTCTGGCAGCTCCATTGTGCTGGACTGACCTTCGACACAGAGCCACGTGATAGAGCTCAGCTGATCCACGCGGATGTGACAGTGTTAGCAATGAACTGAAGCGGCAGAGTTTCAACATGCTTTGCTTCAGCAAGTGTAACATCCTGTTCATCACAAAATTACTTTCATTTAGTAGCTATTCCTACAGAAATAAATAACCATAAATCGCGTATAAAGTACAGAGGCAGAATTGTTTATGTAATCACGTGAAAACATTCTTGCAAGCTATTTCCGCAAAGTGTTCTACAAATTAAAAGCTGTGTCCTCATCCAGGATGGTTAAACCAGAGTTTTAAAATGCGAGGATGCAGCACGAAGGTAAAATGCAAATTTTGTTATTAATTGAAACACCAAAATATTCTCTTCAATGGGCATAGTATTTCCTACTACGTGGAAAAGATCAATTTGGTGCAATCAATGTAACTTCTGTATTAAGTAGTGTCAAATCGTGCATTCCAGTGCAGCAGCTGGAGAGAGCACGATGCAATAAGTGATTATGTCCGGTTAGGTGGTTACCATAGGGAAATCAACCAGTTATGTTCAAGTAACAGAATCTTTATCCTTTCTTGCCCCTTATTACAATTAATCACGTACTAGTTGCTTTGGTAAAATAACTTAGATACTTCTAGCAATATATCAAATGTCACCAGCCCAAATCAAGGAGTTTAGGTAATAGGCTAATCATTTGGTTGTGCTGTACATTTCCTCCCGGAATGACATGAACAAAAAAAAATCATAACTTTATGGAGCTTATACTGAGTCGACATTTATTCAGTGATGTTCATCAGCTGCAGTGTAACTACAATCAGACAGCATGATAATCACTTCGTAACATATATGCTTGATAATATTGTTAAGGACAACCATGGTGATCCTAAGGGTGAATTATGTGGGAACATTCTGACAAGCTCAATGTGGGTAGGTGTAGTATCATCCAAGAAATGGTATCCCTGTGTGAAGGATGACTTTCTTGACTAGAGGGAGAGAAAATGGAAAGTAATTGTTGCACTTAGTTATATTATTCAAGCTATACTCTAAAAGTCAATGATAATTTGAAACTTATCCTCCAAATAGTTTTGTATTGTATTTCAAATAAGAGATAGTTAAGGTCTTCTATGTCAGTTCAAACAGAAGACATAGAGATGAGATATTTATTAGTTTTTGCAGCTTTCCTTGCACTTCATGGCAGTTAAAAGCTAGATTAGACACAGGCTAAAACAATTATTTTTTTTTCTGCAACAAGACTAACTCCAACTGGAAGTAATTCATTCACAATGTTGATATGCTCCCAGTGTATTATTTTTTGTTGCCCACACTTACTACCCACCTGTGATGTTCTTTCATTAATACTATAGAATAAGCAGAATTATGTACAGTCAGAGCTGAATTGGAATTTTCTATATAATGTTTTTAAAGGATGTAAAGGGTAGAGATGCACTTGCACCCCACTGAATGACTTTGTTTTTGTTTATTCACTCCTGGGACCTGGTTGTTGGCTCGCTAGGCCAGCATTTATTGCCCATTCCTAATTGCCTTTGAGATGCTGGAGGTGAGCTGCCTTCTTGAACCACTAGAGTCAATGTGCTGTAGGGGAGTCCCACAAAGGCATTATGGGGGAAATTCCAATTTTGAACCAGAAACAGTGAAGGAATGATGATTATAATTCCAAGTCAGGATGGCGAGAGCCTTGGTGTGGAACTTGTAGGTAGTGCTGTTCCTGTGTATCTGCTGCCTTTGTCCTTCCAAATGGAAGTGGTCATGTGTTCAGAAGTTGCTGTCTAAGGAGCTTTTGAAAATTATTGCATTGCATTTTGTAGACAGTACACACTGCTCCTTTATTCATTCAAGGGATGAGGGCATCGCTGGCTTGGCCAGCATTTATTGCCCATCCCTAATTCCCCAGAGGGCAGTTATGAGTTAACCACATTGCTGTGGTCCTGGAGTCACATGTAGGCCAGACCAGGTAAGGATGGTAGTTTCCTTCCCTAAAGGACATTTGTGAACCAGATGAGTTTTTCCAACAATTGGCAATGGATTCATGGTCATCATTAGACTCTTAATTCCAGATATTTATTGAATTCAAATTCCACCATCTGCCAGCAAAATTATCACTAGGCCATTCCCTCCCCAGTGTATCAGTGGTGGAGTGATTGGATATTTGTGGATCTGGAGGCAATCAAGTAGGCTGATTTACTGTGTTTAAATTCTCCTGAAATGAAAGAAAATTATCTTTCCGACCCATCATACTGTCTAGACCTCTATAAATGATTTTGTGATTGCAATTAGTTCAAAACTGGCAGTCAGTCAATCATTACAATATTTGAAAATAGGATTTTAAACTTGGGAGACCAAACATAAGTAAAATGTCTGACACTTTTTCAGCAATTTTGAGTGTGCTGATTTTAATAGATTAGTTCGCAATTTCACCTTTATTTTTAAAATTCAGTTTTTGCCTGCTATTGTTCTTTGTAAGCATATGAGCATTTTGATCTGGTTCAGACTGATGGAATGGAAATTGTTCTTTGTTAGCTCTAAATATTCCAAGTGAACAAACCATGTAGTACAGCTGAAACTGTCCAATTTGGCAAAACTTCCAAAAATTGCGAATGCAAGTCTGACAGTCCTTGAGGACAGCAGTTGTGGGAGAAAGAGTTGCCTTGCTGCAGGGACTTGCCTATTGAGGTGGCACTTTATTAAAACAAAGTAAAGGTACTCCATGCCTTATTAAGACCAAATTAAGCAATGCAATGTTGGCTACAGTAAAATGATGATAATGTGGATAATGACACACTAAACATGCATCCTTATTGGTGCTGATAAGATTAAAACGCATATCCATTCTGTGTACATGCAGTTTCATTTAACATTTGGTGAATTTTTAATTACTGAAAAAAAGCTGATAGTAATTTTCAGCTCTTTTCTATTATTAAAAAGCTGTGGCTTAAAATGTAAAACATTAAGGTTGTATTAACTTCAGATATGCAGTGTTGCCATTGCAAGATCAGATTTTCAGTGCAAAAGGTTGTGTGTATGGATGTCTTAAATATAGTATATTTAAGAATTTTTCTGCTTTAGGTTTGTGCTTTCCTTAACCTGAAAATATTATATTTGGTGACAGAGCAGGGAAAATTTTTATTCTTAAGCATTGACTTACCAATTCTGATAAACATAGTTCATGTCCATGATTCACTTGATAGATATTAACCTAAATTACTCTATGAAACTTTGGAAGAATTATTTACAAGAGATATAAGCTATTTCCAGGGCACCTATGCCAGACTTTCCTTTTTGCATTACATTTTAATAATTTCTTTGATATATGTGGTGACTATTTTGAATTGAATGGAGCAGACAACTCCGTAGCATTTAACTTTTTATTTGGGAATGTTAAACAGTAACCAAGTGCCTCCATGGAGCAAGTAATAACAAGAATAAGATAGCTCACCAAAAGTAAGCATTGTCAAGGGTGATTTAGGTCATGTGGTGATTTTTGATTATTTTTCCACCCTCGTTCTGTGGAAGCATGCAAATATCAAATAGTTAAACACTTTTGTGCATTTTGCAAACTTGCCACATTGAACTGGAAATATTGCTTGACATAAGCAGATCAATTAAAATGTGAGGAGGGGCTACATAGATAACATTGTGTTAAAGGCAGTGGGTGTAGTTTTCTATACATCAGAAGACACATGAGGTGCAGCAATAGGTGATATTTCAATATCCCTGAACTGGGGAGAGAGCCGCAGATTTTGACTGTGCAACAGTAACTCCTGCTGCAAAGTACAATTCTGGAGATGTTAGGTAAGAGTAGAGATTGAATGAAGCTCTGCAACAATGCTATTTTAATGGCTGCGACCACCATTCATTAGTTTACTATCAATTACGAACATCAGTTTATAAAAAGAAAATCATGTTTGACTAACTTAGCAGCAATCTTTGAGAATGTAACAAGGAGGGCAGACAATTGTGAACCGATTGACGTATTTTTGGATTTCCACAAGGCATTCAATGAGGTGCTATTTAAAAGATTACTACAGAAGATAAGAGCTCATCATGTTGTGGGTAATATACTAACAAGAATAGAAGATCCGTTGGCTAACAGGAAGCAAAGAGTTGGGGTAAGTTGGTCATTTATAGATTAGCAGGCTGCTGCTAGGAGAATGCGGCAGTGATCAGGGCTGGGTCCTCATTATTTAGAATCTGACACACAGCTAGATAAGAAAGCAAGTTGTGAAAAGACAAAATCTGCAAAGTGATGTAGAAAGCTGAAGCATGTGGGTAAAAATTTGGCAGATAGAGTATAATGTGGGAAAATGTGAGCATATCAACTTTGACAGGAAGAAAAGCAACATACTATTTAAATGGAGAGAGACTGCAGAATGCTACATTGGAGAGGGATTTGGGTGTCCTAGTACATTATTCACAAAAAGGTCGTGTGCATGTACAGCAAGTAATTGGTAAGGCAAATGGACTTTTGACTTTGAATGTGAGGGGAATGGAATATAAAAGTAACAAAGTGTTACTGCTGTTGAACAAGTAAATTGCATCCAGAGTACAGTCTTGATCTCTTAAGGAAGGATATAATTGCATGGGAAGTAATTCCAGAAAAGGTTGATATGGCTGAGTCTTGGGATGATGGAGTTGCCTTATGAGGAAGGGTTAAGCAGGTTAGGCCCATGGGCATTGGCGTTTTGAAGAACAAGAGGGGATTTTGTTGAAACAGATAAGATTCTGAGGGGATTTAACAGGGCAGATGGTGGGAGGATGTTTGTCTTTGTGGTGAGCCTGTAATTAGGGGGCAGTTTGAAAACCAACAAGTCTTCCATTTAAAGTGAAAATGAGGAGGACTTTTTTTTTCCCTATTGTTTGATTTTTGGAATTCTCTTCTCCAGAAAACAGTGTAGGATGGATTAGTGAGTGGAATTTTCAGTGCCTGCCCTGAACTTTTAGAAAGGAACGTGGAAGGCATGAGGTTAGTTTCCTGACAGCAGGTTAAAGTTTTGCTATTCAGTTCTTTCAGGCAGATTGGCTTTCATGGCCCGGAACCTCTTTTATACTCATTAGCATTTCATGAATATTAGTTAACA